GATTTTGTCTGCTACAGTTCTGGCAGATTTGTCTTTGGTGGCATAGGCCTGCGCAAACCTCGTGAAGTTGTCGACGATCACCAGTATATACTCAAATCCGCCCTTACTCCTTTCCAAATGGACAAAGTCAATGGAAATGACTTCGAATGGTGCGGTGGTCACAATTGTACCTAACGGCTCTCTGGTGTGCTGAGCAGGCTTCCTGTCTTTGAGGCAGGGACAAACGTGCATGCAGTAATGTTCAATATCCCGCTGCATATGGGGCCAGTAAAAGCGGTCCCTGGCAAGATCAAGGACCCGACCTGCACCAAGATGTCCCATGTTATTATGGAGCTCCCTGTAGGCAACGGGTCTAAGTGCTTCAGGAAGGATTATCTGGGACCGTCCTGCCTTCTTCCTAACCAGAAGCCCATCTTCCAGGCTGAAATGTTCCCAGTCACGTAGTAGTGCAGGTACGTCGGGTGGGTCCCGTGCTGTGTCTTTCCGCGTAGGACGCTTTCCGTGCTGGAGGTATCTGATTACCCTGGCGATCACGGGGTCATCATGCTGGGCAGTCTGGATGTCTTCTCTCTCCATGGTCTTCCCACTGGTAGAAGGGGTGGGCAAGTCAGGACTCACATTGATGGCGGAGGCCCACGGGGCGTCACCTTGGATCTGGGCTTGAAGGGCATTCACGGTGGTACCAATCTCATCGCGGGAGACTTCAGCTGTGCATTCTTCCATGTAGCTGTCTATGTCTTGGGGCATTCGGGATAGGGTGTCTGCATCAGCGTTGCTCTTCCCTGGCCGATACTTGATAGTGAAGTGGTAATCTGCAAGTTCAGCCACCCATCGGTGGCCAGTAGCATTCAGGCGTGCGGAAGAAAGGACGTATGTTAGGGGATTATTGTCCGTGTAGACAGTGAAGGGGGCTGAGTAATAAAGGTAATCCTGGAATTTCTCGGTGATAGCCCACTTAAGGGCCAGGAACTCCAACTTCCCAGAGTGGTAGTGGTAGTTCTTCTCCGCTGGGCTGAGTGTGCGAGACCCGTAGGATATCACACGCATCTTCCCTTGTAGCCGCTGATACAGCACTGCGCCAAGCCCTTCAGATGAGGCGTCTGTGTGGACGATGAATGGTTCATTGTAGTCTGGGAAAGCCATGATGGGAGGGGTAACTAGGCGGCCAAGGAGTCTCTCCAGCACCTGCTGATGACGGTTCGTCCAGTCAATCTTCTGTTTTGAGAGCTTCTGTACGGGCCTTACTTTGTGACTGGTTTTTGTCTTCGCACTTGGCTTTGGCTTCTGTGGTTCGGCACCTGGTTCCACCTTCAAGAGCTCGTAGAGAGGCTTTGCAATGCGGGAGAAGTCCTGGATATAACTGCGGTAGTATCCCAGTAGGCCTAGCAGTTTCCTCAAGTCACCCACGGTTTCGGGTTTCCTTTCACCAAGAGACTTCACTGCAGCTATATCTGAGGGGTCTGGCCTGTGACCATCAGCGGAGACCAGTCGGCCCAGATAACGCACTTCACTCCGGAACAGTTCACACTTGTTCGGTCTTAACTTGACACCATGAGTCTGCATGCGTTGCAGTACCTTCTGCAGATGATCCAGATGATGTTCAAAATCGTCACTATAGACCAACACATCGTCCAGATACGTCATGGCAACCTCTCCGTTCAGACCCTCCAGGCAGTTCTCCATAAATCTTTGAAAGACAGCAGGTGCGTTGGTAAGACCAAAGGGAATTCTGACCCATTCGTAGAGTCCCCAAGGTGTGATGAAAGCAGTGAGGGGACGGCTTTCATCAGACATAAATCCCTGGTGGTAAGCCTTTCCTTGGTCAAGGGTGGAGAACCAACAATTACCACCAAGGCTGTCCAGCACGTCCTTGATCCTTGGAATGGGCTGACGGTCAGGAATTGTTTTCCGATTCAATTCCCTGTAATCGACACAGAGTCGGAGGCTACCGTCCTTTTTCCGTACACAAACCACTGGTGAAGAGTACGGAGAGGTAGACTTGGCTATCCAATTACGGCTGATCAGGTCAGACAGATAGGTGCGTACTTCTTGGTACAATGGCCGTGGTAGTGACATGTAAGTCTTCCGAACTGGTGTGGTATCACTTAGGTTGATCTTCATCTTCAGGTCAGGGGCACTGCCGAGATCGGTGTCATCTCTCGCAAAGGCGGCTGAGTTTTCCTGAAGGAGTTTCTCTGCTGCTGCTTTCTGGGATGGTGTTAAGTGACTCAGGTCAACTGGTGGTATCCATTTGTCGTTGCTGGATACACTTGAGACTGTTGCTCTCCCTCTAGCTGTGATGTCATTGTCTTGGGGCACCGTCCAGTCTTTGAAGGTGGATGGCTCCACAGGGTAGACCGAATGGACCAACTGAATCTGGCCCAGCAGACTGCGACGTCTCAGAACGATGTCCCGGTTGGTGGTGTTCGTCACTCGAATAATGACGGGGCAACAAGTACCTGGGGTGAGGCTGACAACTGACTCTTCTACATGCAGTCCTTCAGGCCATTGCTGTTCAACGTCTGGTTCAAATAATCCCGTAATCTTGCAGTCAAGTGGTCCTGCACGGGTCCGACATCGTACTCCGATGCTGCTCTGTTGGGGTATTACGATGTCTTTTCGCCCGGACCTCACGCTGCATACTTCTTCTGGGTCATTTGCCTGGATGAGTTGAACTAACTGGTCAGCGCTCCTCTGCTGCAGGTTCTTCATTGCTCCACCAAGGATACGGCTGGCATCGTTACCAGAATGCTGCACAACCATTTCGATCACGTTGTAACCTATGATGGGTTGTTGTAGCTGGTTCTTGGTGACTAGTGCGGGGAAAGTTATGGGGGGTGACTCCTGTGGGGCTTTCATCTTCAGCTCAATTTCTATCCATCCTTCAAACGGGATCGGGGTACCATTAGCAGCTCGAAGGTCAAGGTTACTCTCATGTTCGAGAAGTTCGGAAAGCGGGCGGATAGGTGTACTGGACAGGTTGTCTTGAAGCCAATCAGTACTGATCAGTGAAACTTGGGCTCCAGTATCCCATAATACCGTGGCTGGTGAGTCGTTCAGAATACAATCAACAGTACATCTGGGGCCAACAAGGTTGGTAACTTTCCGGTGATGTCTTGGGGTTGCATGGCAGATGAAAGTCCCGTTTTTATGGTTGTGATGTGGGGGAATTGGTTGGGACGCTGCTGCTGGCTTGGTTACACCCTGTCCCTCGGGGGCAACCCATCCTCGTTTCCCTGGCGACGGTTGGCATTCCCTTGACGACAGCCACGGGCAAAGTGATTCGATGAACCACACTTGAAGCAGTGATCACACGATGGGCCCGTGCCATCCTCCTGGCACTTTCTGCAACCACGGCTGGTGGATGGTCGGAGTGTTGGGGCTTGTCGCGATGGTTGCCTGGCGGGGGTCTT